AGAGAGAGAGAGAGAGAGAGAGAGAGAGAGAGAGAGAGAGAGAGAGAGAGAGGGAGAGCGAGAGAGGAGACAAGATTGGCCTAGTTTTACGACATTAGACTAACATTATCAGCAGCATATCGTCGCATTGCCGTTAACTGCTTAGCAAATCGGAACTTAGTAATTGTTGTGGGAATTGCTGGTTTGACTCAAAGACAATTCTGTCTGCGCGTGTAGTGTATTGCAACATTAATCACTGGCTGACGTATTATAAATATGAACTAAATCGGTGCTTTTCTAAATCCTCGTTTTGATAAGCTAACATTCATAGATGCTTACGACGAGTTTTACATTTAAATTGCGATTTTTTTATACTAAGATATGCTAAATCTAATGTAAAAATAATTGTCAGGCTGTTAGGTAAATTCCACTCTCAGCCTCCCCTCCCCCGCGAAAGTATCGATCCATCACCCATTCCTCACCACTTCCTCCCTCCTAAGTAACAGAATTCCTCTCCTAACATTTCATCCTCAGTATATTTTCCCTAGCATGCGACGCTTAAAGGCTCTCCCTCAGCATTCCACCATCAGCATGTCATGCCATCCCTCAGCTTCAACACATCATCCCTTACTCAGCATCCCTCCTCGAGAATTTACATATAACTAGATTTCCTTCGTCCGCGAATAAATAAGCGCTTTAGGGATCGCTTACTTCCAGGCTCGAAAAAAATCGGGTGGTAAAAAAACTTCGCCCCCGTATAGTCGCGCACGAACGCACCACACACGCACGCACGCACGCACGCACGCACGCACGCACGCAGGCAACGGTGGGTTTCCTGTTGACAATCCCGGAGACACGCGGGTTAAACGAGAACAGGCTGATAGCGCACAGGCACACACGCACGTACGCACGCACGCACGCGCGCACGCACTCGGGAGGCTGTGGTTTGCGGGAAGACACGGAGAGCCGAATCGCAAACAGCTAACGAACATCCTTGCTACGTGCAGGCGGGGGAGGGGGATGCCGTGGTGGGGGAAGCTGTGTGGGGGAAGATGTGTGGGGGAAACTGTGTGGGGGAAGCTGTGTGAGGAAGCTGTGTGGGGAAGCTGTGTGGGGAAGCTGTGTGAGGGAAGCTGTGTGGGGAAGCTGTGTGGGGAAGCTGTGTGAGGGAAGCTGTGTGGGGAAGCTGTGTGAGGAAGCTGTGTGTGGGGAAGCTGTGTGGGGAAGCTGTGTGAGGGAAGCTGTGTGGGGAAGCTGTGTGAGGAAGCTGTGTGTGGGGAAGCTGTGTGGGGAAGCTGTGTGAGGGAAGCTGTGTGGGG